CTGGAGAAAAAAATATACAGAAAAAAAAGCAAATTTTAGTGATAAATTATGTAGGTTACACAACCCCAGATATGTCTAGTTTGTTTAAATTATTTCACGGCTTTCCATAAACACTGTGTAATGTTGGTTTCTAAAATACATTTTTATTGCTCCACATTTCTGCTATACCAAGGATTGGCCTTGCACTCCCCAAAAAATCTGCAGTTCAGAAGACAAAAAGTATCTTATGAAATGTCGCGGACAAAAAGTAAACGCTTATAAATTCGTTGTGTGCTCGCCAGTAGTTTCTCTAGATCATTCTTCTTCCACATTTTACATCTGCGGACTTTGAAACTTTGAGACATTGTTTTCGCGGACTGGAATGCGGAAACAAAAACAACTATAGATTACATACACACACACAAACACACAGAGACAGACAGACAGACAGACAGACAGACAGACAGACAGACAGACAGACAGACAGACAGACAGACAGACAGACAGACAGACAGACAGACAGACAGACAGACAGACAGACAGACAGACAGACAGACAGACATAATACACGCACGCACAGACAGACAGACAGACACATAATACACGCACGCACGCACAGAAAGACAGACAGACAGACACATAATACACGCACGCACGCACAGAAAGACAGACAGACAGACAGGCAGACATATGTGCCGTTTCTAGAATGGAAGTTATCTGTAATGCAGCTACTGTTCATGTCTTTGAGAATATTACACGGTGATATTCTGATCTCTCCCTCGGTGAGACTCTCGTACCATTGTCAAAAAGCCGAGTGAGCGTGTTTTCTCTGAAAAACTGACTGCGGCAATCGAATCCTGGTCAGCAGACGATAAAACAACTAAGCCAACTTCTAAACCACAGAACTGCACTGGAGCGTGGCTGGAGGGTTCTTTCTCACAGACGGAATGTTGTACTAACTTTATTTCTCTGATTGGATTTTACTTAACTCATACGGCCTATATTCCGAAGCTATATTGTCGCGTTCAGCAACTCCTGGGTAAAGAGCAATGTAGCACCTAAGTGATGTAGCCGCTACATAACTGAAAATAAATTTGTGTCGGACAACATAAACAGTTTTGCAGACTACAGGCTAAAAAAAACATTACTCTAGAAAAAACAGTCCCAGTGTTTGCCCAGATATCGAATTCTTGCATATATTTTTTTTTTCCTGTCAGACCAAACTGGCTGGCAATTTCTATTAAAAAGTCAGCAAGACTATACATCTTGAACAGGCCTATAACTTACAATAGCTGGGCACAGAAGCTGCAACCAATACTTTCTTTTAAAATAATAAAATATAAGGTCCCTTTCCACGCCTTTTGGGTGTATTTGGGAATATAGGTCTAGACCTTTGTTTGTATAGACCAATGGGTGGGTGATGTGGTCAGCACCACGCCGGCGTCCTTTCAAAATAATAACTACCCACAAAAGAAATATTTAGTAAGAGCAAAATGTACGTATAGCAACTGCATACACAATATAGTAACAAGATACAATATAAATATACAACAAGCATGTCATAAATAATAATTAAGCTTCATTAATTCGAGTGCATCTGCCTGAGAGGCGACAAACCAACTTTCTGCATGCACATAAGCCAGATCTCACAAGTTCTGGAATAAGACTAAAGTCCATAAGTGGACGAACAACCGGAACTTTCCACCGAAGCTTACAGCGGGTAAACGCTAAGAAGAGAAGACGGCATTAGCTGTTAATGGACGTCGGCTTGGCGGACCTGGTGACTACCATTAATGGACGTCGGCTTGGCGGACCTGGTGACTACCATTAATGGACGTGTGCTTGGCGGACCTGGTGACTACCAATAATGGACGTCTGCTTGGCGGACCTGGTGACTACCATTATTGGACGTGTGTTTGACGGACCTGGTGACTACCATTAATGGACGTCTGCTTGGTGGACCTGGTGACTACCATTAATGGACGTCTGCTTGGCGGACCTAGGGACTACATTTAATGGACGTCTGCTTGGCGGACCTGGTGACTACCATTAATGGACGTCTGCTTGGCGGACCTAGTGACTACCTTTAATGGACGTCTGCTTGGCGGACCTGGTGACTACCATTAATTATGTCTGCTTGGCGGACCTGGTGACTACCATTATTGAACGTGTGCTTGACGGACCTGGTGACTACCATTAATGGACGTCTGCTTGGCGGACCTAGTGACTACCTTCAATGGACGTCTGCTTGGCGGACCTGGTGACTACCATTAATGGACGTCTGCTTGGCGGACCTGGTGACTACCATTAATGGAGGTCTGCTTGGCGGACCTGGTGACTACCATTATTGGACGTCTGCTTGGCGGACCTGATGACTACCAAAAATAGACGTCTGCTTGGCGGACCTAGTGACTACGATTAATGGACATCTGCTTGGCGGACCTGGTGACTACCATTATTGGACGTCTGCTTGGCGGACCTGGTGACTACCATTAATGGAAGTCTGCTTAGAAGACCTGGTGACTACCATTAATGTATGTCTGCTCGGTGGACTTGGTGACTACTTTAATGGACTTCGGCTCGGCGGACCTGGTGACTTCCATTAATGGACGTCTGCTTGACGGACCTGGTAACTACCATTAATGGACGTCTGCCCGGTGGACCTGGTGACTACCATTAATGGACGTCTGCTTGGCGGACCTGGTGACTACCATTAATGGACGTCTGCTTGGCGGACCTGGTGACTACCAATAATTGACGTCTACTTGGCGGACCTGGTGACTACCATTAATGGACGTCTGCTTGGCGGACCTGGTGACTACCAATAATTGACGTCTGCTTGGCGGACCTGGTGACTACCATTAATGGACGTCTGCTTGACGGACCTGGGGACTACCATTAATGGACGTCTTCTTGGCGGACCTGGTGACTACCATTAATAGACGTCTGCTTGGCGGACCTGGTGACTACCAATAATTGATGTCTGCTTGGCGGACCTGGTGACTACCAATAATTGATGTCTGCTTGGCGGACCTGGTGACTACCAATAATTGATGTCTGCTTGGCGGACCTGGTGACTACCATTAATGAACGTCTGCTTGGCGGACCTGGTGACTACCATTAAAGGACGTCAGATTGGCGGACCTGGTGACTACCATTATTATACTACTAGTAAAGTAAAGAGCGGCGTCCGTGGCTTAGGCGTTGCGAGCCCGAATCGTAATCCAACCTTTCGCGATCGAAACCCACTGCTGGCTGTATGGAATTTTATCATGGTATGGGGCATCGCAGGTCGACCCAGCCCAAAATGGGTACCAGGATGGCTGTCCTGTGGAAGTAAAGACAACCGGCGTCAGGCTGACTATATTACCCATCCAGTGCCGATTGGTCTGTAAAAATTTGGGACGCTTTTCCCACATACCTGATGCGCCTAAGGCGTGAAAAGGGATCTTTACTTTTTTTTAAACTGAAGGTCCCTTTTCCACACCTTTAGGCGTATCGGTAATATAGGGCTAGACCTATATTTTTTAGAACAATCGGCACTTGTTGTGTGATGTGGTCAGCATCACGCCGGACGCCTTCATTTCGCAGGACTGTATCTGGTACCCACTTAGGCTCGGTTGACCTGGGAGCCAAGTTCCTTTTTTTTAAAAGTACGGCTTTGTCAGGACGCGATCCGTAGGCGGGCGTCTAGCCACCAGCGCGAGGGCGACTCCCATTAATGGACTACTGCTTTGAGTTTATAGTGCCTATCAAATTTATAGCGGCGTCTGTGGCTAAGGCGTTGCGAGTCCGACTCGTAAGCCAGCATACCGCGATCGAAACCCACTGCAGGCTGCGTGGATTTGTGTCGGGGTATGGGACGTCGCAGGTCGACCCAGCCTAAAATAGGTACCAGGATGGGCTGTCCTGGGAAAGTAAAGACAGCCGGCGTAATGCTGACCACATTACCCACCGAGTGCTGATGGTCTGTAAAAATATGGGACGCTCTGCCCATTTGCCCGATACGCCGAAAGGCGTGAAAAGGGATCTTTACTTACTTTACTTATACAATAATCAGAAAGATAAAGTCATCATTGGTCATATAATGAGGAGCGATGACTCGGAGAACAGCACGACCACTTGACATGGTAATGAGAAAAGTGGCAGCGGGCAGATCAATTGGTGAACATGATCATCATGTGCCAAGGCGATGGCAATTAGCTGTTAATGAGTTTAGCTCGTTGAACGAATTTTCTATAAATTATAATTTCACAGCGCAAGATACTGGTGATACTGCAATACACACTTTGTTTTGTGGTATGTACCGGCACCTTCTTGTGTAAGAGGAAAAAGCCCCTCCCATACACATACGGGCAATTCCTGAACCTTGATGATGTCTGACACTGCTTGCTTTTTTTTTGCTGGGGGGGGGGGGGAGGGTGGGAGGGGTGTTGCTTTGTGTGATGTATTTTGTGTACCTGGTGTAGCAAGATAATAGGGGCTTTTGAGCTGAAATGCTATAGAAAGATTCTCAGAATATCGACGACAAAGAAGAGGAGAAATATTGACATCTTAAAAGATCTGAACATCAAGGAAGATTGGCTAATGAACAGCATCCTGTCTCGGAAGCTGAAATATTTTGGTCATATCAAGCGCTACGACGGATTGGAAAAAATTATAGCAGAAGGCATGGAAGGAGGGACAGGGGCCGACCGACACGAAGATTGGCACAGGATATAAGTGACTCCTTGAGTATGAAAGAGCATGAGGCGGGAGAACAGGCGAGAGACCGAATTTCTTTCAGGCAGACTGTGATGAGAGCGACGTTCTGCAAAGGACCTGCTACATGACGATGATGGTTTAGGAGACGTAACTATTACCCCCCAAAAAAAATGAGGAAAAAAAAAGAAAGACAAGAAAGGGAGAAATTAAAAAGAAGCTGATGATGATGATGATTTTTAAATATTCATTTATTCGGAGTAGTAAATATTTTCATCCTACCCCTCCCCACCGTCCTCTCCCTCATCCCTCTAACATCT